CCCGAGCAGCACAAGGCTTCAAATCATTACGTGCCGAGCTGTGGAAGGGCAGGGACCGACCAGGACACAGACAGACACAGAGTAGTACACATCTCTCAACAGCACTGCAGCCCACGTGCACAGCCTCAGGGAGCAGCCACTGGGATGTGGGCCACTGTGGGTCACTGCAGCCCTCCTCAGAACCGCTCCTCCCCAGAGCCTCCCCCTCTTTCTCAACCCAACCCTCCCAAGACCCCCGCATCCCTCTACTCCCTGGATTGGTTGTGACCGTCTTCTCAGATGTGCCAGTTTTCTGGTTCAAGAACAAATTGAGGGACAGAAAAGGATGAAAAGGTATAGTTTTCGTGTTCTAGGTTGAATGACAAATAGTGTAAGAAAATTAAAAATAGCTGTGAGTGAATCTTCCTGTGTCAGTGGCTTTCCTCAGTCCACTGTCAAGACAGTGGTCTCTTTAATTTTTATGCATACGATGCACATTTAAACTGTGGAATGCTGGCGAGTGTACGAAAGGATGATTTTTATAACTGGCTATTGCACTTAGGCTCTCTAATTGCCTGGAGGTGAACTGGGTGCCAGCAACACTGCTTCAGTGGCAAGTATCTTCAGGACAGAGTCTTTTCTTTCATTGTCCNCGGTCCTCACATTTTCTTTACTGTTTATAGTTTTTAAAGAAAAACGCCAAGTGTTTGGCTGCAGCGCTGTCCTGTTCTGTTACAGAGGAGGGCCCGCAGAAGACGAGTCACCCCTCGTTTGAACAGGATCGGGGTTGCTGTCTAAGCCTTCATGGCCTGCATTGTAGTCATCTTTTGGGGATGGCTTGCTCTGCGCTGGTGGTGAGCAGAGACAGCACCTCCCACAGACAACTCATGCAGCTCATCACTGCTTGGCTTGCAGTCCCTTGATTAAAAGGTGATACTCAGTTGTTATCCATGGTTGTCAGCAAATGTGAAATTACAGATGCATTGCTCATTTCCTAAGACTTCTGCCCCTTCCAGGACATGTCACCCTTTGTGACACTCTTCTGCAAAAATGTATATAAATCAGCAAAACCAGGGTAGTTCCAGGAGAGCTGTCCAGGCGGCCGGTGGGCAGTGGTCTCAGCTTCCAGCAGGGCTGTGTGTGAACAGCAAGTCCCCACATTCACCTTCTTGGGCTGCATAGGACCAGGTCCTTCCAGAGCTCCAGGCCTGTTGGGGAGGTGCCAGGTGGTCTCAGCTTCCAGCAGGGCTGTGTGTGAACAGCAAGTCCCCACATTCACCTTCTTGGGTTGCATAGGACCAGGTCCTTCCAGAGCTCCAGGCCTGTTGGGGAGGTGCCAATGGCCCTGGCTGTTAGGTGTCTCAGTGCCACTCCCCTTATAAGCTACACAGATGAGTGTTCCACTCACACAGGATCAGTGAGGCCCCGAGAGCTGGCAGCAGGACCCTGGGGGTGAGGGTGGGGGTCAGGCTGGCATCCAGGCTTCTGTGTTGTGCCCTCCTGCTGGGCTGTGGCGCTCCTGGGGGCAGGTCATCACATTACCAAGCCCCTCGGGGGCTCCCCAGAGAGGCCATTCTCCAAAAATGACCAGTATTCATAGTAGGATGTCTGAGATTTTTTAAGAATATGCGTGGACAACTTGAAGGAACAGGGCAGGAGATGTAGCAGTCTTCACATGTGTTTGTCTTCATGTGTATCTGCCTTTTTGCATATGTGCCCGTTTTTGTACATGCCTGCATCCATGTGTGCCCACCTTCGTGTGTGTCTGTCTTCATGTATGTGTACCCATCTTCATGCACACCCGCCTCCAGTGTGCCTGTCTTCATTATGTGTGCCCATTTCCATGTGTGCCCATGTTGACATGTGCCTGTCTTCATGTATGCCTGTCTCCATGCATGCCTGTACTCACACATGCCTGTCTGTGTGCGTGTCTGTTCATGTGTCTGTCTTCATGCATGTCCATCTTCATGTATGTGTGCCATCTTCTTGCACATAGATCACACTGTGCTGTAGTGACTTGTGCCCTGGCTCCCTGTGTAATCATAGTCTTACCCAGGCATTTGAAGTGTCTTCTCTTTAAAGCTGTCACCGTACCATTATACCTTATATGCTTCCTTTTCCCTCAAGAGTAACTGCAGAATAGAAAAATATTGGGAAATATGGATTCCTGAAGCCTAAACTCATCAGGAGAATTACAAAAAAGAGCAAACTGCAAAATGAAAACCAGAACACTATTTTCTGGACCCAACTGTTTCCATCTCCAGAATGTAGGTGATAGAACTGATTTTGTTAAAAGCTACATTGTAATAATGTTTTTTGTCCTTTTTACTGCTTTAATACTGTGGTACTATTTTAATACCTTGATGTTTTAGCAGTGAAAAGGTAACAGTTATATAAAACAGCAATTAATACAGCAGTTCTGAAGGATAATAAAGACACCCCTTATCGCCATGGTCATTTTCCACCTGTTGCCCAGGAGTTCGTGGGCTCCTGTTTCTGCCTTTTGCAAATCTGCAAGGAAAATAACCAAGGGCTAAGTTTTCTCTGACTAGCAAGGGAGTGCATTAAATATAAATGTATAGTGGTAAGTTAAATTAATACAGGGTTAGTGTTGCTAGTTTACATTTTAAATGAGTATGTCCAGTCTCCCATGACTATAATTTTATAAACATAATTTAAAATTTCCTATAATAAGCACAGTTTATAAAGGTAAGGTATTTATTACATTTACAAGTCCTGCTTCTCAATTATTGTTAAACATAGAAAAGAAGAAACTGTCACGAAGACAACAGACTGAAAGAACTTTTTCCTCCTGGATTCCCGGTCACAGAGCTTCTTAGTTTCCCCAAATGCATGTTCTGAGCCTCCCCACGCTTGGGTGGCCATGGCTAGTCCAGCATTTGGCTTTCATGAAGGTTTTAAAATAAACATAGGGGTACTTTTATTACTACGGTTGTGCATTAGTTTCCCAGGCTGTCATGACAAGAACACAGACTGAGTGGCTTTATACAACAGAAATTTGTCCTCTCTCATTTTGAAGGCTGAAGTCCAAAATAAAGTTGTTGGCAGCGTTGGCTCTTCTGGAGGCTCCGTGGAGCGTCTGCTCCAGCCTCCGGTTCCTTGACTTATAGGTGGGTCCCTGCCATCTCTGCCTCTGTCATCACATGATACTCTGTGTCTATGTCTCTTTCCTCTTCTTATGAAGACACCAGTAATTGGATCTTGAGTTCACCCAATCCAATGTGACCTTACCGTAACTTGATTATGTCTGCAAGGACCCTGTTTCCAATAGGGTCACAGTTATAGGTGCTAAGGGTTATCTTCCGAGGGGGATGCAGTTCAACCCACAGCAGATACTGAGGCTTATAATTTCTGACTTTCACATTGAATTTTTGTGGAGGACTGTAATAGTAGGATCAGGAGATGGCAGTAGGACCAGAGAACCCCTCTGTTTTTCATTTCAAAGTTTTGACTTGTTGGGGTCTTTGGGGAAAAAAAAGCCAGGAGAATGATGTGCATTCCAGTATTTTGAGCTCATCATGATGAGGTAGTTTCATGTGGCTTTTATTATTTGGACAAACTTTTATATCTGGGTAGCTCTACCCTTTTTGATTCTAACAGAATAATTCCATTTCCAGACTACTTTATGCTTTTTTAAAAATAGACCAGTTACTCGATTCAAATGAGATTTCCTTTGGCAAATTTTAACTTTTATGCTGCCACATTTATGGCTTTGGATTCATTATAAACCTTCATAATATTTTAAAGTTAAACAGCGAGCTTATATTTATAGTTCAACTTTTAGATCTTAAAACTTCATTGAAGATGTATGTATGGAAAATTATAGAAAAAAATGTGGTATTTACCTAAATTGGGGTGTCTCACTTAGCTACATGTTGAAGAATCTTTAGTTTTCTGGATAAAACCCATGATCTTGGAATATTTTAATCTGTTTATTCACTAATACAGTCAACAGGTATTTATTGCTCAACAGTATTCCAGGGTTAGGATACAACAGTGAACAGAACCAAAACTGCTCTCAGAAGGGCAGGTTCTGACAGAGGAGGCCTTACACGTCTAGTCAGATGGTCTGAGCTGGGAGGGGGCAGGGGGTGTTCTCATGAGGTGTGGAGGAGACCCGCATTTGAGCCAACCCTGAGACAATGGGGCAGAGAGTCCTGTGGACATGGGTGGAAGAATGTTGTGGCCAGGTGGGGCCGAGCCAGCGCGAAGGCCTGTGAGACAATGGGGCAGAGAGTCCTGTGGACATGGGTGGAAGAATGTTGTGGCCAGGTGGGGCTGAGCCAGCGCGAAGGCCTGAGGCGGCAGTGATCTGGGATGTTCCAGGAAGGGGCGCCAGACCACGGAGCTGTGGGCAGCTGGGAGGTGCAGATCATGAATGCAGCAGTATTTTGAAAACTGTACTTTATCTAAAATCCATATCTCCTGACCCACAAAGCACTTTACAGCATGTCTGTCCAAGTAGTTTCCTTTAAACTTGGCAGCCAGAGCATCCTAGCATAAATCTTATTGTAGATTCTTATATTTAAAATTAAGCATAAGCCTAGACAGTATGCATCTGGATTGAGGCTTTCACTGGTATTACCTATATTCTTAGAAATGTTGCCCTCTCTTCTCAGCCATTTGCAAAACTGGAAAACCAGACCTTGCAGAGAGCAGGAGTGGGGGCGGGGGGATTGATCGATCGATCAATCAATCAGTCTGTGGTAGGCATACTTGAGCAGGAGGGGCAGGACGTCAGGGGAGTCCTGTCTCCATGGTTCTGAGGTGTTTTTTAAAACATCCTGGGAACTCAGAGGTAGAATTAGTAGCTTGTCACTAACAGTTCATAAACAGAGAAAAGGATCCTCCTTCACACAGGACCTAGGGACGACCAGCCCTGTGTCAAGGAGGTGCCAGCACCAGGTGGCTGCCCATTGTGTGCATGTGCACTGTCACGTGGGGGTACGGTGGCTTGTGTGCTTACATGCAGTCAGGTAGACTCTGCTGTTGCAGGCCCACAGATGACAGCAACCAGCCCCCGGGCCGGGGCGTGCTCTCCATGCATGGGCTGACCTACGGTGTCATCCGCGTGGACTCGGAGGAGAAGCTCTCAGTGCTGACGGTACAGGACGTCGGCCTCGTGATGCCTGGAGGTGAGTGTGGCATGGGTGGCACACGCTGTGGGATTTAAAGTCGACCCCAACCTTGGCCTCACGGATCAGTCGATTGTGAGGTACGTCGTGGCGTGTGCCACAGCCTTCCTCCCCCTGCACATCACCGAGTCCTCTGCAGTGAGCTCCCAGCTGCTGCTTGACATCCAGTCTCCTGAAGTCCTCACTGGGCATTGTAGGTGGTGCTTACTCTCCTGACTAAAGAAAACCCAAAATGTTCAAGCAGCTGGGGAAGGGCATCTTGCACACGGGGACCCTCTTCCCTGGCAGGCATCGGGGTGGCTCTGTGCTCCTTGCAGCTGCCCAGGCGGCTCCAGTCTGTCATCCTAATGCATCAGCCAAAGCCCAGCCTTCCCCAAGGCTCTAAGGCTTTCAGCAAATGTGTATGAAAACCAAGGAATGCCAATCTGTATAATTAGGGAAACTTGTTTTTTAGCAGTAAAATCCTTTTTTTTAAAGTCACAAAACCATTTCCACAAACACATTGTGACAGCTGTGGTGTTGTCAAAGGTCCCCCTTGCCATCTGTATAATTAGGGAAACTTGTTTTTTAGCAGTAAAATCCTTTTTTTTAAAGTCACAAAATCATTTCCACAAACACATTGTGACAGCTGTGGTGTTGTCAAAGGTCCCCCTTGCAACACCCCACCCAGGGCACCAGGCACCTACAGGGCGCACGAGCAGGACTCCCACCCACCTTGTCTGCAGATGCGTTACCAGGTTCCTGTCTCACAGACCTCACCTGCCAGCACTAGGCTTTTTGCTCTCTGGACCCCAAATTGGAGTCAGGTCTCCCTTCTCAGCTGGAGTCCCGACCTGGAATCTGAATCTCCTCTGGGAACCCCTCTGTGCTCTGCGGTGTGGTCTCGCCCATGTGGCAGGATGGTCACTTCCACATGTGAACCACATGGTTACTGTATCAGCACAAGGATTGAGCTAGGTTACTACAGGTTGCTGTGGGATCTTAGCAGGGATCCATATGCTGGCGGGTAGGAGGCTGTGCTGCTTCATGTCCCATAAGGTAAGCTTCTCGCTGTCCCTGTCCATAGTGAGGTGACCTGGCTGGGCTTCTCCAGAGATCATCTTGCCTTTCCGCTTGCCCTGTTTGGGGCATAAAAGAAGCAAAGCCAGACCTCAGCATTCCTAATCCCAAGTGCCTTTTAATTCTAGTGTACTCCAACGTGAAGAGCGTGTCTCTTCCTTCTTTGACCCCTGGAGATGCTCTCTTTGGTGTCCCAGCAGCTTAGCTTATGCCTTGTCACTCCAGATTTTCTGTGCCCCAGGCCCATAGCAGCCTTCCCAGTGTTAGCAAGGACTCCACTCCATTTCTTTCTTAATTAAGAAATCTAATTCTCAAATAAATCACAGACCCCCACAGTGGAAGCTTCAAAAGATTCAGAAGGTTACACAACGAAAAAGCTTCTTGCTGACCACTGGGGGCAACCACTTTCAGAAGTGCTATGGGACTGTAAAAAGACATGCACACATATGCACATGCTCACACGCTCACAACATGTGCCTGTCGTCTTCCTTGGGCTCTTGGTTTTTTCATGTTTTGTATCTTTAGTTCACCTGTTAGCACATAAAGAGCTTACTCTCCTTTGTCAGGTGGTTAGTGTTACATTGTTTGGATACATAGTATCTGTTTAAACCCTCCCCATCTGGGCCAGTCCCACTTTCTGCTGCTGCAGTCTGTGCTCCAGTCTGCACAGGTATGGGGAGTGTCTGATGAAAGAAGTTCTAGAAATGGGATTTCTGTTTGAGAGGGAACTTGCCCATATAATTTTGATGATGCCGAGTCATCCTCAGAGAGGCCAAGAGGCCTCACACTCCTGCTGTGGGGTGACAGTTCCTCTTCTCTCCCTTTCCCCAGCGCATTATGACTTCAATTTTTACCAATCAGTTGGGTGAAGAATGTTTCACTGTAGTTTTAATGTGAATTTTCTTACTTTGAGTGAGTTTAACCATCCATGTGTTTCCTCTGGTTCCATTTCTCGGACACCTTAGCTCCAGCCCAGGTGCTGGAGGTGTCAGCGCACACCAACTGGGAAACACCAGGCCTCTGTTCCCTGATCGGACCGTGGTTTGCAGTGGTGGCACGTGTTGCACATCCATGAGTTTGTGGCACAGATGAGTGAGAATTTAGCATCAATGAATTATGCGCCGAAGCATTAAGTGATATACTCTCTGAAGGACTCACTTTAACAGGGAATTTGAGATCAAAGATTAAGATACCCATAGGACACTGGAGGCTTAAATACCACTTTCAGTTTAGAGACTCTTTGAGAGACTTTAACGTGGGTATCCCGTGTGTCTTAATCCGCACAGTCTGGGTTCTGTCTCGGAAGCCGTGCCCACTCTGCTGCTGACACGTGCGGCAAGTGACCTTCCCTTTATTCTGAGCATCATCCTCATATCTAAGTGGTAGACGGTGCTATTCCCCCTAATACAGTGTACACATTAAAGTTAACATGATTGAAATTACTAGTTGATTTCACACTGTGAAATCTGACATTCTGAGTACCTGGCTGACTGTTACACTTGTGGTTTGTTCCAGATACAAGTTCTGTTCATGGTGTGCTTTCCTGTTTTGTTTTTAGCCATCATGTGTTCCGTGAAGCCAGATGGGATCCCCCAGCTGTGCAGAACAGACGAAATCGGGGAGCTGTGTGTGTGCGCAGTTGCGACGGGCACATCATATTATGGCCTCTCGGGCATGACCAAGAACACCTTTGAGGTAGGCTGAGGGACGCCCCCGCCGCGAGCTGTCTGTGGTTCCATCTTCAGTCAGACATTGCCAGGTGCATAGTAATAGACATGAGATATAAGTTGGTAATTTTCAAGTAAAATATTCATATGGACTGAAATGGTTGCACTTCCTCCTTCCATTTTTTATTTATTGTTTTTGATCAATTTGGTTTATCAGCATCATTCTGACTTTATAACCAGTGTCAAAAAAGAATGAGCACAGTTTCTTTTAGACAGGCTTTTTTTATTTAACTGTTCTCATCTTGCCTGTTTAGTAGAAGTGCCAGCTGACAGGTGGCTGACAGACAAACGTGCACATGTGTGTGCAGAAACAGCCCTGTTTATCAGCATCATTCTGACTTTATAACCAGTGTCAAAAAAGAATGAGCACAGTTTCTTTTAAACAGGCTTTTTTTATTTAACTGTTCTCATCTTGCCTGTTTAGTAGAAGTGCCAGCTGACAGGTGGCTGACAGACAAACATGTGCACATGTGTGTGCAGAAACAGCCCTACTTGGGGAAGCCACTGGCCACCCCTTTACCGCCTTTCAGCCTAAAGCTGGACTTGGCGGAATGTGAACCTCTGAGAACTTGACAGACATGTATGTTAAAAAATGACTTAGATGGCATGAGCAAGTGTGCGTGTGTGGTGTGTATATGTGGTGTGTGCACTTGTGTGGCAAGTGTGTGGTGTAATGTGTGTGTGCAGTGTGGCATATGAGTGTGCAGTGTGCACACGCTGCTGTGTGGTGAGCAGAGACAAAGGGGTTAAGCTCACGAGCTCAGGTGCTCAGTGCTCCATCTCGGTGTTCTCAGAACATTCATCCTTTAACCAAGTGATGCCTGGCCCTAGGTGTACCGTAATATTTAATTTATGTGCAAGAAAATACAAATTGAAGATATGTTCTTCAAACATTTGGAACTTTCGTGGTGCCTGTCCAGAATGGTATTGTTAAATGTGAACGCAGCTTTCTAAACTATTCCTTGAAACTGGAGCTAGATACAAGTCTAAATAAAAACCCCAGTGCCTTTTTTATGTGGTTCGTCTGCAGGTTGGAGGTAAGGAGGGTAGAATTTGAGCCCATTTGATTTGCTTCCCCTGTTTTTCCTTTCAGCATAGTTCCAATTAGGAAAAACAATGCTTTAATGAATAGAGCTTAGTTACTTTACAACGAACATCTGTTGTTTATATAATATACCTTGATTCTCCATTTATCACCCTTACGCTGTAGTTTTATAAACAGACGGTTGATTGATGTTACTGTCATGGTTTCTGAGTATTCCTGTTGAGAGATTTGGAGCTCATGACTGGAGGTGCAGGAGCAGGTGCATTTCTGCGGGGAGTAGGGGGCGCTTTTCTGCGTTTGAGGACTGTCTGCTAATGGCAGTCACTGTGACCCCGCTTCTCTGGCAGGGTTGCTGGGGGTCAGAGGCAAAGCTCGAGGAAAGCAGGCTCAGTGGCTCTGAGGACAAGTGGTAAAGATTGAAGCCGCCAACCACATGAGGGTGGCCTGATGAAAGCTTTGTTCCCCCAGGTGTTTCCCATGACCAGCTCAGGGGCTCCGATCAGCGAGTACCCGTTCATCAGGACAGGCTTGCTGGGGTTCGTTGGTCCTGGGGGGCTCGTCTTCGTGGTGGGCAAGATGGACGGCCTCATGGTGGTCAGCGGGCGCAGGCATAATGCTGACGACATCGTGGCCACGGCCCTGGCTGTGGAACCCATGAAATTCGTCTACAGAGGAAGGTCAGTCACACTCGTCTGCAAATTAAGTGCATGTTCTTCCATTATAAAGGACTTAAAATGGACATACATTCTTTACATTTATTGTGACTCAGTTTCCTCTTCTGTACAATTGAAGCATCTGGACTCGGTGAGCTCTGAGATTTCATCTAGTTCTGAACGTCAAAGATTTTACTGGAATTTCCTGAGCCCCATATGTATATTTTAATTAACTTCCCCTCTAAGTCAAACAGATGTATCCACTCAAAAAACTTATTTTTAGTACATAACTGCACAAAAGAAAGCCAAATAACTATTCATCGTGGTGCAGATCAGAAAGGCCCAAGGGTAACCGTCTCATCACGGGCTTGCGTGGGAGGCAGGTGTTCTTTCACCTCCTGGCTCTGCCGTGGTTTTCTCTCTCCTCCTCCTTCCCCACCTCGCCTGGCACACAGCAAAGCTCACTAGATACTCGGTAAATTAGTTCCTGGCTCTGCCGTGGTTTTCTCTCTCCTCCTCCTTCCCCACCTCGCCTGGCACACAGCAAAACTCACTAGATACTTGGTAAATCAGTCTGGCCTTTGCAGGGCACAACACCACTAAGGGTCACAGTCCCCTGATGTACAGAGTGAGAGTGATACATCCACACAGATTTCACCTGGCTCAGTTAGGAATCAAAACTAATAACACAGGGAGAAGCACTTTGGAGTGCGTGAAAAATTCTATAAACTCACTTGTGACGTTGCTATGGTAGTAAACATTTGTCTCGTGCCTTGCATTTTGGGAGCACACTATTGTCCGTTACCTGACATGACCCTCCTGGAAACTACATCAGTCATTCTCTTTAAGGTGCGCACAGTTATCAATGGAAGGAATTTATTGCGAAGACTCACCAGAGTGTGAGGTAGGAGTGGTGCTGCCGCTGTCATCACAGGGCTCCCAGGGCCTCAGCGGTGACCATAACCAGTGCTCGCTGGGTGGTGGTGACAGTACGTGGCCCTGCGTGGACTAACCACTGTCCTCATATGTACTGACTCGTTGCATTCTCCTGGAACCCTGTGAAGTGTGTGCTCTTGTCTTCATCTTACAAACAAGGAAGACGAGCCTGAGAGGTCCAGGATTTACCCAGGGTTAGATAGCAGATGTGGTGGAGATGGATCCAGACCCAGATGGCACAGTCTGGGTCCCTAAGTGCTGTCATGCATACCCCAGCCCATTTTTTCTTTACCCTGGCTTGGTTCCATTTGTTACCTTCTAGTAGAGATCGGCAGTGCCGGGCAGACTTTTGTAGCAAGGCAGCCTGGGCTTGTTGGCGTTTCTTCACTGGGCTCTTCTGTGGGTGTAGCACACGTGGTGGTAAACACGTAGACCAATGCAGAACATCCCATCTGGAGCCTCTCCAGGCGTGAAGGTGCTGGGGTCTTAGAGACATGCCTGTGCCTCTCCAGCAGGTGGGTGTGTGGGTGAGCTGGAGTGCCTGAGCTCCCCTGGCTTCAAGATCAGGGGCTGCTGCTTGCAGGAGAAACGTCACCCAAGCACAGACCAGGCGCAGAACTTGAATTTAGGACTCCCTACTCCACACCCCTTGCTTTTATCCTGCACATAGAAAGTCGTGATGTTTTCTGCTTTGTAGGCACATCAGACGTACATCATCATTGTTCCTTCGTTTCTGGCCTACTTCTGTCTTTTTAAGTTTTTTCTTATGTTCTAGACTCTCTCAAGTGGTATTCTTCCATTTCCTTTTTCCTCTCACCTTCATTTCACTGTCTAAATCCCTGGTCTATGTGATTGCTGTAGGAGGAGGTAGAGTTGCAGCTGGCCAAAGCGCCCATTTCTTTGAATTTCGTGGGTACGTTGCTCCCCTGGTGAGCCGCTACACAGAGCATTGCCCCTCAGTGAACATGGCAAACACACGACAAAGAGCCCCCTTTGTCCCTTATTTTCCCAGAACATAGGTAACATTGGAAATGATACAATAGCAGTTCTCTATCCAGGCATATTCGTTTCTGTAGAATTAAAATTTATCAGGGGCCGGCCCAGTGGCGCACTGCTACAGTGCGCCGCTTGGGAGCGTGGCGGCGCTCCCGCCGAGGGTTCGGATCCCACATACAGACCGGCCACTCACTGGCTGAGCGAGGTGCGGGCGCAACACCGAGGGTTGCGATCCCGTTGCCGGTCCCGGTCCGGTATGGGCGCGACACTGAGGGTTGCGATCCGTTGCCGGACACGAAAAAAGACAAAAAGGAAAAAAAAAAAAAAAAGAAAGAAAATTTATCACAGTGTCAGGACTCACCAGCTGTCCTCAGTGTAAAGCAGAAGTGACTGGACCTCCCTCTGCACTACTTGAGAAGACTCATTATCAGGACTCTGGACCCAGCTTCCAGGGGGCCCAGGTGCTCAGGAGTCTGTGAAGGCAGGATTCAGGACAAATGTTTACAGTGGGGAGGATCATTTGCAAATGCAAGATATGCTTCCATAGCTACAGGGGACAGCTCACCTGCCAAATGTCAGAAACCCAGTAACAGAGGAGAACCCAGCCAAGAGGGACAGCTAACACCACCCACATGGTTAGGTCCAGGCACTTGAAGGCTGTATGCATTAGAGATTAGGCTGGGAAAGGGTGGTCCTTTTTACTGTTAATACTGTGACTTTCTAAATGAAATTTTTATGTGATTCATAACTTGCTTGTTTGTTTGTGGGTTTTTTTGGTGGCTGGCTGGTACAGAGATCTGAACCCGTGACTTTGGCGCTATAACATCACCCTCTAACCAGCCAGTCCCCCAACTGATAACTTGAAAGAAAGAAAGAAGAAATTTTAAAATATATATATGTATATATACTTGGTGTCCCATCTGTTTTTAAGTTGACAGGTATTTAATTCTGTCTTTATTTTAACAAATATTAAGTGGCAGCTGAGCTGAAGACTGGTTAGCTTCCCATAGACTCTTCCAGCTCTGCAGGTGGCCTGAAATTCCCCTTAGAGGACATCGCCCTGAGGCCTCTGTCTCCATACATGCAGAGAGGGAGTTGGACTAGACCATCTCAAAGGCCCCTTTAGAGTGAACATTTAAAATGACTCTGTACAAGTGCCCATCACTGGCAGCCAGAGCAAACATTTACTGAGTTCATTTATGTGTAAGGGGAGTAAGATGCTTGAAACAGAGCCACTAAATCTTAGATGACTTATAAAAACCGAATTGCCTTGTTTACTGGATGAATTCGTATTTACTCAATTAACAACAGTGTGTATGGTGAGGTTATCTGAATGGAGCCCATCATTTGAGCTGGCAACAATATTATAAAAGTTATTAAAATGACCCACAAGAGTAGCCAGAGGAGACAGTGTGAGAAGTGGCTGCAGAAATTAAACTTCTGTCTTATCCCCCTCAGGAATTTGTCAAGCATTGTGTGGTAGGAATTCAGTAGTACTAGAGATAAGCTGCCAATTTTCAGATATGTAAATCTATAAATGGAAGCAGGAAAACAGAGAATAAATGTGAACTCAGATACATAGGTTGTGGGACACATTTCAGTTGATATTTTCAAATTGTGATGTGGTGATTTACTCTAGGGGTGCTTTGCACGTGCCCACCTCACTTCAGCAGGTAGAGATGGTCGGTTCTTGGTAAGAGCAGATTTTGTAAATGAGGTGCAGCCCGAAGGCCTCCTGTTTCTAGCAGTGATCAGGGCACACAAGTTCCTGAGTCTACATGGAGACAGACATGTGAGAACACAAGCAGAAATAAGCCTTAGTGAGGGAGGACTCAACCCAGTTATAGAAAAGCACAGAACAGGGCACTGTGAAACCTGATTTCCACCCAGAATATGGCTTTCTACTCTAGTCTGAATTCTTAAAAAAATTATGGAGAAGGCTTTAAGCCAGTTTAACCAGCTTCCAATTTGTCTTCTGAAGGAACCATCTTTCCCAGCCCTTAATCACCAAGAAAATGTTAAGATACTTCAACAGACATAAAGATAGAAAATGAATGGATAATAAGAAAGGATGCAGACTCCGAAGTGTTTAATCATCTCGCAGAAGCAGTGAATTCACACGCCTGTACTGCAGCAGCAGATCCTTACGTTCCAGCATGCAACACACTACCAAATTTTCTTCTTGTTAAACGCGAAAATACTATTCCTCTTTCGTACTTAATTTATTAAGAACTAAGAAGAGAAATTTAGCCTGCCCACAACTGCCACATGTGAAAATTGACAAATGATTTAGCTGAGCACATACCGCATATTCTTACTACTTCACAGAATCCAGCGTCACAGCTCCTACAGGTGCCTAAAACCAGAGACGCCAGCAGGCAGGTGCTGGAAATGTGTGTCCTGTGCAGATGTCCTCCAGACTTCAGTCCTGCCCTGAAGTGCTCTGCCCTCTTCTGCATAGCTAAGCAGAATACTTTATGGAAAACCAAATCCAGTGTGGGCGGCCCACATACCTGCAGAGAACGGGCAGCCCTGTTCTCACTCAGACGTGCGTTGTCCTTGCAGGTGTGCACCGGGAAGCCAGACAACAGGCCCACCCCAAGCCTTGTTCTGTGCTATGGCACCTCGACCTGCACCTTAAAACCTGGTCTTTTTTTGTTACATGATCAATTTGCTTAAGTACAGACACACAGCTCTTCATGCACAGTAAATGATGCAACATGTACGGTGATTTATAAACATGTAGCTTGACCTTAACCAGAAGTTTAAAAAGAAGTTTGCTTAGCAGTGGCCTTCACCTTACATTTTACAAAGTAAGGAGCAAACAGAACTTGTTAATGTCAGCTTTGTTATTTTACAGGGCAGCTTTCCTGGTAAACATTCTTTCAGCCCTCTTCCCCCTTCCCTCCCTCTCCTCCTCCTCCTCCCTCACACTCACATGCACACATGTAAACACAGTGTGAACACATGTAAATACAGCACACACATTTATACATGCACACATGTTAATCCATGCACACACATAAACAGCATGCACACCCATGCACACATGTAAACACACACATATAAACACACTCAAACACGAACTCACTTTCATACACACACGCATATAAACCCACATGCACACACTCATACATACACTCACATGTACTCACACTTATACCTACACTCACACATAAAGTCACATGCACGCGCGTGCACATGCACACACACTCGCACAATGGGACATTCTCCTAGAACTTCTAACCTTTTCCTATTAAATGTGTGTATCTTGGTTTACACATACAGGGGAACTTCAGAAAGTTCTTGGAAAAATAGAACTGAAAGATTATGCAGGTCTTTTCATGAACTCTTTGAAGTACCCTCATGCATGTCTGATAAAAAGAACATGGTGGCAGCGTTGTAAGGAGCCTGGAGGATACTAGGGTTTCTAGCAGTCAGAAATTTTGGAAGAGTTTCTGTAGTTCTTTAAGAAACTTCTTGGGCCGGCCCGGTGGCGCACTCGGTAGAGTGCGGCGCTTGGGAGCGCGGCGGCGCTCCCGCCGAGGGTTCGGATCCCATATAGAGACCGGTCCGCTCACTGGTTGAGTGCCATGCGGGCGCGACTCCGAGGGTTGCGATCCCATTGCCGGTCGTGGTACGGGTGCGACACTGAGGGTTGCGATCCTGTTACCAGTCACGAAAAAAGACAAAAGGGAACAAAAGAAAGAAACTTCTTCCTTTCCTAAAAAGAAGAAAAAAGCTATGTGAAGAGAGTATCTGCTTTTCTCTGATGTTTTCATCAACTGGGGAAAGAGCATTGTTAGGTGAGTCAGTGACAGTGGAGAGAATCAGAATTTGATTTTTGGCAGCCTGTGGTTCATTCTTCCACACCTCACTAGGGGCCTCACGGAACCTTTCAGTCAGTAAAATGTACAGATAAGTGATTCTGTGCCTCGTCCCTTCAGCACTAAATCTGTACTGAGAGGTGTTTGTTAAGAATGGACCGTATTTTGTTGAGGGTCAGCTCTCACGATGTGCACTAGCAGCAGAGGGCAGAGCAGACGCATCCAGAAGTTCCCAAAACTTAGCACCGAACTGAATCACATTTTTAATCCCTTCTCTGTCTTATGTGTTGGTTTCTATCACCACCACTGTGGTCGCCACATCCTGGGCTCATGCTAGCTGGGAAACAACAGACGTGGACAGGGACATTGTATGTGATGATGACATCATTTCTGTGCTTGTGTTTTGCCATCGTGATCATTGTAGAGATTTCTTAGAAACCTGTGCTCATGAGACTTACTCAGAGCAAGATCTTTCAGAGGGTTCTTCCAGAGCAAGCTCTCTGCAAGGTGGGGAGTCACGTCTCAGGGCATTGCAGTCTGAACTCCTCACGTGTGTGCCTCTGCTTCCTTCCAGAAATAGGCCCCGCCTCTGTGATGGTGGGGAACCTGGTGTCTGGAAAGAGGATTGCCCAGGCCAGTGGCAGAGACCTGGGTCAGATAGAAGACAATGACCAGGCGCGGAAGGTGAGTGCCACAGTCAGACCCCACGCATGTCTCTTGTCACCACGGAGTTGGGCAAAGGGCTGCATCGCAGCGACTGTCCCCCTCATCCCCTGTGCCAATTCAATATCCACTACCAATCTTCTGCATCTTTGGGGATCCTCCCTGCCCTCTTGATCCTGCAAGAAATACTCACTTAATTTTATAAAGAAAAGGTGTTTGTTAGGAGATTTGCTGTTTTAGCAATTGTCAGAGTGGCATAGAAATGGGTGAGTGATGTCAGACCCCATGACTGCAGGACGGAGGCAAGTATCTGGAAGTCTGTGTCCCATCCTGGTGTCCCCTGGATGCTTGTTCCTACTTACCCCCCAGGCCTGATTTGCAGCCCACACTGCCTCACAGAGACCTTGCTACAGGCCCCCAGTCCTTGGTCTTTGGAACAGAAGAAAACATCAGCTCAAAACCCAGGTTTGGAGCTGTAAGGGAAATCTGTGAGCCCCATTCTTCCATAAGCATCACACAATCTGTCCTGTGTGTCCGTGCGTACCCATGATTACCTTTCAGCCTTGAGAAGGCTCAGGGATCACCAAGGGGGGCACTTTTCCCCCGGCCAAACGGCAGTCCATTCTGTATGGCCTATTGAAAAATGTGACAAAATCAACCATTTAAAATATTGCCAATTTGGTGACATACAGTAATATGTTAACTGACAGTACTTGATCACCAAGCCCACCCACGTAGTATATTCTTATTAGTAAAGGGGTTGAGGGTTTCATACCCTGACATGAAATAGGACCATCATTTTCACCACAGACTGAGGCAGTACCATGCAAAAAGTCTGGGTAACTTGCAGTGTGATTTAATGACATCACGAATTGCCATTCTAAAAACATAAATTTAGGGCCCTGGGTAACTTGCAGTGTGATTTAATGACATCACGAATTGCCATTCTAAAAACATAAATTTAATAGAGCCCCCCCCCCTTTTTTTTTAAACTGGATCTGATTTTCTCATTGCCATCCACAGAAGTCAACACTGCATCTCCTGGGAAGCCCCAGGAGAAAGGATGTCCTATACCACTGCTCCTACCCATCAGGGAAATAGTTCTCCCGTCCTTGGGCAACTTTCAGAAAACTTCCCTAACCAGGGGTTCAGCACCAATGCCTTGATTTGTGGATCTAAGTTAGGTGCAGTGAGTTCTAAGTCACTGCAGGAGGAAACTACAAAGCACTTGCTTGTTCCATCTGATATGTTTGTCAGGGATTCTCCTAAAAATGAGTGTTCTCGTTTTTCTGTGGAGAAGCGTGCTGTTTTACAACACCCAGAAGCACGCAGACAAACATGTCGATTTAAATACTGAGACTGCCTCGCCCGGCGGTGGCCTGACCATGCCTGTGCTCTCTCCCAGTTCCTGTTCCTCTCGGAGGTCTTGCAGTGGAGAGCACAGACCACCCCTGACCACGTCCTCTACACGCTGCTTAACTGTCGGGTGAGTCCTCCAGCCTGCGGGCTCCACACAGGCCCCAGGAAGCACTCACACTTCATTATAATATTCCTGACTCAGTCCTTTCACTCCAGACTTATTTGAATTCCATTTATTTACTTATTTCTGCTATTTTAAGTAATGAGACTTTTTCACTTAAGTGTTGCTTTTAAGAATAACAGTCTGTGCATCTATGTATGCCTATTTCTGTATGTAGATATTTTAACAACCATGTTTGCAATGAGTGATTCATGATATCTACAACAGAGAACAATTGCAAATCTATGAGATGTTTGTTTTTATTTTGATTACTTTTAAACTACTTTTTAATAAGTAATTATGTGTTAATTACATACTTTTATAAGTATGATTAAGTGGAAATTTTTACATTTCACATTAGGAAACCAACCTTATGAAATATTGTTTCATACTAGTACTTAGAAGTAAGGCCATACATATACAAGCAAAGATTATTAACAATCAGAACTAAATGCAAAAGCTTTAACGAGCTTGTTAACTTTTCTTTTGGCTATGCAAGTAAATAGATTTCGATCTTCTTCACAAGCATAGCCACTTGCAACTCTTTAAAAAGTTATGGCTGAGATTTGCTAAATATCAAAATCTTAGTACCTCTTGCCATTTGAAAC